ATAACCGATTTGTGGAATGAGTGTAAATATCAAAACCATTGAACATATCTTGATAGAAACCTACCAACAAGGTAACTAAACAAGATAACTAATACACATTAAAATAGTTGATACCTAAGTCAACCGAAGAAATAATCCAAACCCAAGGTGCTTTTTTATGCACTAGATTAAATATAATATAATATATATATAGATATATATAATTCCCAAGCTAGCTTATAGCTAGATAGACAACTTATTAAGCAACAAAGTCATAGTTTTAACTTCAATTATATTATATGATAGAGCAAGGTTAAAATTGCTCCTAAACACGCGCAACTAATATGCAACTTGGTATACATAGTAGGCACCAACTTTGTCTTGTAAAATCAAAGGCTGAATAAGAACATTGAACCAAATGAGATATGATAAGGAAGAAAAAGAGGGAACAATATCCCACAAAAAGAAGGAAGAAAATGTCATTTGTGGGAGTATTTTTCTCCTTCATGTCGTTCGGGCTCATCTATCTTTAACTTGAAAATTTTGCTGGTATCTAATCCCCACCAGCTGGTTATATAATATAATGATCCCCCATTTTAGTCCACTTGTTGTTCATTATGATATTTTTAAAGGAAAAGAAAATGACTTTTCATGTAAAAATAATTACGAAAACAAATTTCAACTATTTTTTTTTTGAACTGATAAATATATTTATAAGAACAAAAAAAAATATAAAATAAAAATAAGCTAAAATAGCTTAATTGAAACACAACAACTAAAAAGATGAATCCAAACACAAAACAACCAATTAAGAGTGTGTTTGTTTATGAATTTTATTTAAATTAATTAATACTCAAAATCTATCTCAACTTTAACACCCCTGAAATGGCTATACCTTTTAGCAAATCGAATTGCTCATAAGAATCTACTATCCGCAATATTATCAATACAATTAAATAATATAACCAATCATTCTTTCATATTATTTCAACTTAATTTTAATTCACTATTCATCCACACATAATAATTTTAACTGACCATCACTTCTCATAATCTCTCTTTCATACTTTTATGTCAAATTATCTTTAGTATTTTATTTCAAATATTATTTTAATATAAACTCACAATCTCACTAACAACTAAGCATACCAATTTTTTAAAATTAACCATGGTTAATTAACAAAAGATACTCAGTTTTATAATTTTAATTAAATATCATCTGTCTGATACTTTTACATTAAATTAACTTTAGTTATTTTATTTTAAATATTATTTTAATATAAACTTAAAATTCAACTAACAACTAATCATATCAATTTTTTTTATAAAAAAAATACCTCTAATATTAATTAACAAAAAAAAAACTCGTTTTGAACAGATATATTTGTATACAACTAAGCCCGTAAAGAAGCCTTTTTGTACTCTTGATTAGATTCACTTTTCCATCTTCTTGGCTCAGTTTTGCCCTCTCATATTAAAAATTAAAATAAAAAAAAAAAAACTAAAATATAATAAATATTCTTCTTCCCACATCACATTTTCCCTCCCTATATAACGACCTCTCCCTTGACAAATCCTTCACTAAAAACAAGCACAACCTTTTGTACTTAAAAGGAATCATCAAGTCCTCCCTCCTCTCATGGCATCGAGCTCGATGACATCAGCCCGCGGGTCGTCGTGGACACCTAAGCAGAACAAGCAATTCGAGGAGGCCCTAGCCATGTTCGACAAGGACACGCCCGACAGGTGGCACAACATAGCCCGAGCGATTGGCGGGAAGTCGGCCGAGGAAGTCCGGAGGCACTATGAAGCGCTCGTTCGTGACATCATGCAAATCGAGACCGACCAAGTGCCCATACCCAACTACAGGGCCTTAACAAGTCATGGCAGGACAATGTACGCTAATGAACACAGGTAGTCAACGAATTATTATTAACTTATAACCAAAGAAAGAAAAATAATTAGTTAATCCTTAATAATTTTGTTCATCATTTTTTTTCATCTTTTTTGTTTCTTGATTTTTTTTTTTTTTTT